GTAATCTAATTACCGTTTTTGCAATAGTAATCCCTTACTTTACTCGTTACTTTAAAAAAGCAATCGGATTGCCCATCTCTGATTAGGACACATGTCAGCTGTTTTCTACTACCCCACATTTGTAGGGTGGGTGTGGGCAGACAGTGTGTGGGAGTGTGAGGACCCAGGTGCAGACACAGACTGGAGACAGCACTGAACTTGAAACAAAAAGCGAGCCTTTATTTTGTCTGGATTAAAGGTGGCAAACAAAGCAGAAAGCACAGAGGCAAAACTAAACTAGAAACTGAGACTTAAGTAAGACAACTAGGAAGGCTATGAATAGGTGACTATGATGAGTCTGTGCTGGAAAATGAAATAACTATAAAACGAATACATGATTGAGCAACATGAACATGACCAGCACGCCTGAAACCAGACATAACATGAACCCAGACCATGACAATATTCCAGTGGTAACAGGAGTCAGTCCCAGTTAAATATGAAATATGAGCTAATATGCTACTTAAAGCGAATACGATAGCAAATCTCACAAAAGTGAGTAAGTTGAAGCTGGACTCCCTTAGGGTGGTGTCGGGAGGATGTTATCCAAGATAAGAACAATGCAAGATAACACCTCCTACCCACTCCACGACCTGCTTGCCAGTCACAGGAGAACATTTAGTGAGAAACTGAGATTCCTCATGATGCACCACAGAACGAAACAGGACGTGACGGCTGCCCCGTACTCCTCCATCGAAAGCACAGAACACACTGAAACAGTTACAACAGCTTCTGCTCAATCAAGAGCTGATGACCTGTTACAGTCAGAGTCAAATGTGAGTCATACATATCTAATCTGTAATATTCTTGATATTTATGGTTGATATTACAGCTATTTGTAATATGTTGGAAATTACAAATCTCACCTTCTTCTATGGGTGGGACCATTTTCATGCTTCAGTCTGTTTATTTCTCGCTACAGATAAGGTTATTCTACTGATCTTCATGTTTCTTTACGCTGTAAACCAGACAGATGACGCACATAAAACCCCCTCTGGACATCAGTTATCACACTGCATCATAGTTTTATGAGTGATTTATAATCAGGGGCGCTTATGTAGAAATGCTTCTCAGTTAGCTTGACTCCATTTCTGTAACATCCCGGCTCTCCTTGGACAGAGTTAAGTTAACCCTTGGATGCACAACCTACCAATACCTACACTCTTCCACGAGTGGGGTCAAAAATGACCCCAAATAGAAACAATGCATTTTGCTATAAACTCGGTTGTTATTCTTCAAAATAGTCGACACTAGTCTGGATCCTCTTTATCTGAGATGTCAGATTCTGAGTCAAAGCCTCCAATGGGCTCTTCATCCCATCTGTCCTGGATCATTTATAGGGCAAGGTCCACAGGGATCCTAGCTGGCCTCATAGCAGCCATGTTAAATATTAAAAAAAACATCAGAAAGGACAATGTTTGAAATGCACAGGAAACTATAAACAGGGCTGCACATAAATGGTTCGCAGGTGCGCATTTGCTGTCAAAATAAAAGA